GGAGTTGGATGGAGACCACTGGAATACCAGGAGCCACAGGGGGCACCAGTGACAAAAAACTGTTATTGTGTCCCTAGGCAAGACACTTCACACACATTTCCCAGTGTGAATGTGGTGTGTGCTGCGGTTGCAGCCGTTTCACACTCGGGTCAAACCACCTCAGTGCTGCAAGTCCTGGTCTGATGAAGCCAACAGGACAACATCATCTGCAAACAGCAGAGACGAGATCCTGTGGTCCCCAAACCAAACCCTCCGGCCCCTGACTGCACCTAAAATTCTTTCCATAAATACAATGAACAGAACCGGTGACTGTAGTGTGTGTGTGTCTCTGTTGTGTGTGTGTCTCTGTTGTGTGTGTGTGTCTCTGTGTGTGTGTGTGTGTGTCTGTAGTGTGTTGTGTGTCTCTGTAGTGTGTGTGTGTCTCTGTAGTGTGTGTGTGTCTCTGTAGTGTGTCTCTGTGTGTGTGTGTGTGTCTCTGTAGCGTGTGTGTGTGTGTGTCTGTAGTGTGTGTGTGTGTGTGTCTGTAGTGTGTGGTGTCTGTAGTGTGTGTGTGTCTCTGTAGTGTGTGTGTGTGTGTGTGTGGTGTGTGTGTGTCTGTAGTGTGTGTGTGTCTCTGTTGTGTGTGTGTCTGTCTCTGTAGTGTGTGTGTGTGTGTGTGTGTGTGTGTCTCTGTGTGTGTGTGTGTCTCTGTAGTGTGTGTGTGTCTCTGTAGTGTGTGTGTGTGTGTCTCTGTAGTGTGTGTGTGTGTGTGTGTCTCTGTGTGTGTGTGTATCTGTAGTGTGTGTGTGTCTGTGTGTGTGTGTGTCTCTGTAGTTTGTGTGTGTGTCTCTGTAGTTTGTGTTGTGTGTCTGTGTGTGGCGTTTGTGTGTGTGTCTGTAGTGTGTGTGGGTGTCTGTAGTGTGTGTGTCTCTGTAGTGTGTGTGTGTGTGTGTGTGTGTGTCTGTGTGTGTCTGTGTGTGTTTTTTTACTTTTTCTACTTTTTTGGAGTTGCCTGGAATCCACTGTGTTTTAGTTTTGATCCTTTTTCCAAGAGCGCCCTCTGTCTGCTCCTACTGATTGAAACACCTGCAGCAAACAGTCACATTTTTGTTCTTTCTGCACTAAGTGTTTGGTGTAAACTGGGACATTTTCAGCGTCCAGAGGAACTTTTGGTCCCATTTCATGTAAGAAATGCAGCTGAGATGAAGCTGAGATGAAGGTTCAGACTGATGCTCGCTGTGGCTGGAGCCGTCAATGTTTTAATCTAAACATACAGAGAACACAGATGTCACTTTTTGACTCCAGTTCAGTTCGTTCTGCAAATGAACGTCTTCACATCACAAAACACGTCCACAGGGACATTTCTAATGTTTCTGCTGCACTTACATTTTTAAAATTCCACTTTAAAATCATTGCGACAAAAGAAACTTTGTGAAAAGCTTTCTCTAAAACTGTGATCATGTAAATGTTCTTCTAGCGCCTCCTCTGGACTGAGGCTGCAGGTGCACACACTGAGTGCGTCACATGTACATCAGTGTCCGTTATTCTCCATGTCCCGGTTCTGTCAGTGTTCGGGACACTGTGTTTACATGTGCGCAGACAAACCAGGACACTCATGTCCCCGTGATATGATCAAATATTCACAGGATTCTTGACATAATCTTACAAATGCACAAGTGCAAAATGAACTTAAATCAATTTAATAAACCAGGAAAAATACAAACCTTGAGCTGCTTTAGCGTCGGAAGCTCGGGAGGTTTTAACCAGCGTGAGGAGCTGTGAGAATCCCACAATCCACTGCACACATCAAACCAACACATTCTTCATTCAAATCTTCTGCATAAATAAACTCAACTTTACAACATCTAAACTATAAACACATCAGTCTGTTTGATCAGATCATTCAGCTCTGACACATTTGTTTATGTAAAACCGCATGGTTCATTTACATAAACTGTTGCGCTGATAAAAACAGCTGCTCCTTGTGTCGCTGATGTGATCAGATTCTTTTGGATTAAAAGACACGACTCAGTGGATCACGTGTGTTTTTTGTGACAGAAGAGGCGCTGATGATGCTGAGTTTGTTCTGTGTTTGTATCGTAGGAGATAGTTCATGTTTTAGTTTTTCAGTGATGTACGAGTGCAGGTTGTTCGTGTGCAGGTTCAGCGCAGCTCTTTATTTACACTCATTTCACTCGTGTGGTCACTTTATTTATGTCGGTCACTTTATTCATGTCGGTCACTTTATTTATGTCGGTCACTTTATTTATGTCGCTACTGTTGCAAAGAAAAAACTGGACAGTGTTTGTCTTTTGGACGCATGATGTGGAGTAAGAAAGCTTTCAAAAATATTTGTGCGCATAGAATAGAAATCGGTGCGTATTTGTCTGTAGTTGTGTATAAAATAAACATTTGTAAACTCTCCAATGAGTCCAGTCGTACATAAAATATATTGTGTGTATTTTATCATCAGAATCCGTCACACTGAAGGTGAAACTCTGGATAAAATCCTCTTGGTTTTTCGTTCTTTTCTCTCTGATCATTTGTGATGGTTCTTTTTTTGTCCATGAATCAGTGAAATTCATTTAATGACATAATCGTGTCGTCTCCACCTCAGGATCAACAGTTTTTAAAACAACACGATGAAAAAATCATTCTGACAGTTTTAAAGAGGAAGAGAGAAGAGAGAAGAGAGAAGGAGGGAGGAGAAAAAAGAGAAAGAGAAGAGCGTGTTGAAGAGTTTGGTTTTGGCTTCACTGCATCAAAGTT